AAATCTATAGATGTCAATCTATATATGGAAATCTATATATGTAATCTATATATGTAAATCTATATATGTAAATCTATATATGTAAATCTATATATGTAACTCTAATATATGTAAATCTATATATGTAAATCTATATATGTAAATCTATATATGTAAATCTATATATGTAAATCTATATATGTAAATCTATATATGTAAATCTATATATGTAATCTATATATGTAAATCTATATCATGTAAATCTATATATGTAAATCTATATATGTAAATCTATATATGTAATCTATAATATGTAAACTATATATTAAATCTATAGATTAAATCTATATATGTAAATCTATATATGTAAATCTTATATATGTAAATCTATATATGTAAATCTATATATGTTAAATCTATATATGTAAATCTTATATATGTAAATCTATATATGTAAATCTATATATGTAAATCTATATATGTAAATCTATATATGTAAATCTATATATGTAAATATATATATGTAAATCTATATATGTAAATCTATATATGTAAATCTATATATGTAAATCTATATATGTAAATCTATATATGTAAAATCTATATATGTAAATCTATATATGTAAATCTATATATGTAAATCTATATAGGTAAATCTATATATGTAAATCTATATATGTAAATCTATATATGTAAATCTATATATGTAAATCTATATATGTAAATCTATATATGGTAAATCTATATATGTAAATCTATATATGTAAATCTATATATGTAAATCTATATATGTAAATCTATATATGTAAATCTATATATGTAAATCTATATATGTACATCTATATATGTAAATCTATATATGTAAATCTATATATGTAAATCTATATATGTAAATCTATATATGTAAATCTATATATGTAATCTATATATGTAAATCTATATATGTAAATCTATATATGTAAAATCTATATATGTAAATCTATATATGTAAATCTATATATGTAAATCTAATGTAAATATAATGTAAATCTATATAGATAAATCTATATATGTAAATCTATATATGTAATCTATATATGTAAATCTATATATGTAAATCTATATATGTAATCTATATATGTAAATCTATATATGTAAATCTATATATGTAAATCTATATATGTAATCTATATTTATCTATATAGTAAATCTATAGATGTAAATCTATATATGGTAAATCTATATATGTAATCTATATATGTAAGCTATATATGAAATCTATATATGTAAATCTATATATGTAATCTATATAGGTAAATCTATATATGTAAATCTATATATGTAATCTATATATGTAAATCTATATATGTAAATCTAATATATGTAAATCTATATATGTAAATCTATATATGTAAATCTATATATGTTAAATCTATATATGTAATATCTATATATGTAAATCTATATATGTAAATCTATATATGTAAATCTATATATGTAAATCATATATGTAAATCTATATATGTAAAGCTATATAATGTATCTATATGTAAATCTATATATGTAAAATCTATATATGTAAATCTATATATGTAAATCTATATATGTAAATCTATATATGTAATCTATATGTAAATCTATATATGTAAATCTATATATGTAAATCTATATGTAATCTATATATGTAAATCTATATATTAAATCTATATATGTAAATCTATATATGTAAATCTATAGATGTAAATCTATATATGTAAATCTATATATGTAAATCTATATATGTAAATCTATATATGTAAATCTATATATGTAAATCTATATATGTAAATCTATATATGTAAATCTATATATGTAAATCTATATATGTAAATCTATATATGTAAATCTATATATGTAAATCTATATATGTAATCTATATATGTAAATCTATATATGTAAATCTATATATGTAAATCTATATATGTAAATCTATATATGTAAATCTATATATGTAAATCTATATATGTAAATCTATATATGTAAATCTATATATGTAAATCTATATATGTAAATCTATATATGTAAATCTATATATGTAAATCTATATGTAAAGCTAATATATGTACAATCTATATATGTAAATCTATATATGTAAATCTATATATGTAAATCTATATATGTAAATCTATATATGGATCTATATATTAAATCTATATATGTAAATCTATATATGTAAACTATATATGTAAATCTATATATGTAAATCTATATATGTAAATCTATATATGTAAATCTATATATGTAAATCTATATATGTAATTCTATATATGTAAATCTATATATGTAAATCTATATATGTAAATCTATATATGTAAATCTATATATGGTAAATCTATATATGTAAATCTATATATGTAAATCTATAATATGTAAATCTATATATGTAAATATATATATGTAAATCTATATATGTAAATCTATTATTAATCTATATTGTAAATCTATATATGTAAATCTATATATGTAATCTATATATGTACAAGCTTATATGTAAATCTATATATGTAATATATATATGTACATCTATATATGTCATCTATATATGTAAATCAAAAAATATGGGTGTAAATCAAAATATGTAAATCTATATAATTACATCCTAAGAAATTAAATCTATATATGTATATCAATAAATTAAAATCAATATAAGTCAATATATATGTAAGTCTATATATGAAAATCTATATAATGTACATCTAAATATGAAAATCTTTATAGTAAATCTATATAATGTAAATCTATATATTAAATCTATATCTGTAAATCTATATATCGTAAACAATATATTCAATCAATATATGTAAATCATATATGTAAAAATAAAAAGTAAATCTATATATTGTTAAATCTATATATGTAAAACTAAATATAA